ATCTCTGCAACACTTCTGTCTGGAAATTCATCTCTTCTCCATTTTGCTCCTTAACCTACAGAACCTTACAATATTTTGCTACCAAGTTAAATCTCACTTCTTTGCAAACTAAGGCCATCCACGTATGCACTTATCCTACAACTATCTGAAGGTCCAGTATGTGCAGGACATTGTTAGGCATCAGGCATACAGGGCGAACATGACTCACTTTGATTTTGTGGAGCATATAAATATGAAAAAAATTACTGCTATCAGGTAGGTTATGAGGAAAAAATGAGGGAGTTACTTTGAATACAGTGACCAGAGAAGGCCCCTTTAAGGAACTGGGATTTAAGTCCAAAAGAGCACGAGACAGGCATGAGAACCAGCACGCAGGGGTAAACATTACAGGCAAGAGGGAAGAGGGATTGACAATGTTGGTTAAGAAGGTTGTGTAGCTAGAACTCAGTGTGGGAAGGATTTAGTATAAGAAAACACTGGTGCAGGTAAAATTCAGGTAAGAAGTCTGCACCTTATTCCAAAAAGTCATTAAAGGGTTTTAAGCAAAAAGTTGATGTCATATAGTTTACACCTTAAGATTACCAGACTGCTATGCAGAATGGAAAACAGAGATGCAAGAAGGGAAATGAACAAAGGAAGGCCACAATCGATGTAGTGAAAATAGAGACAGACAGACTGTGCTTATCTCTGGATATACAGCAAAAAATTCAACTGACATGGAGGGCAGAAGAGAGAATGTAATCAAGCAGCATGATACACTTAATATGAAAGTGTCCCATTAGCACACACAGAAAAGGAGAAGTTGAGTTTGTGATCCACCGTAGGACTTTACCCTACCCTTTTGATCTTGCTCAAAAGCCTATACCTATTGCATGCATGCTGCCATGGGCTGTTTGTAACATCAAAAGCTGTAAAGGCTTGCCATCACTGGCCCTCCACAAACATGCAGAACACTTATTTTACTGTGGGCTTGGCAGAGAGGGGAGAAAGTTCTCTTTAGAACTGATTAACCATAAACTTTCCCACACATGGGTTTGAAAGTTTCAGTCTGTAGTATTGTCGAATCAGAAAAGTGACCCTTTATGCTCTAGGACCTGGAAGAAACGAATTGTCTTTGCGCAGATGCACCTTCAACCCAGGTCTCAAAGGAGGACAGGTTTCCAAAGCACTCACTCTACTTCTAATTCACCTGAGGAAACAATGCACTACCAGTGGGTCGAACAAAGCAGTATGGTGGTGCGTGCGCGCACTCAGGAGGTAGTGGTGTTCAAGGCCAGCCTGAGTATATAGTGACACTGTCTCAAATCCCACCTTGACCCCCGCCCCCGCAAACAACTACAAACAGTATAAAGAGAATAACAGAGCCCATATGGACTTGGCTGTAATCCCAGTACCTGAGAGGCTGAGGTAGGAAGATCGACATAAATTTGAAGCCAGCCTGGGCTACATAGTGAGTTCAAGGCCAGCCTAAACTACATAGTAAGACCTTGTCTCAAAAAAAAAAGTTTCACTTGCATTTACATTTTTTGTTACAATTTTAAATACCTGTATAAATGAGTGTTATAGATTGTGTTTAGATGTCCCCCCAAAGCCTCATGCAGTCATAGGTGGGTCTTTTTCTGAATTGATTGATAGTACAATGCTAGGCTCAAGGGTACTAGAATTAGGGTATGAATGCTACACGCCCTATGTAGCCTGGATAAAATATAAGGGATAGAAAGAGCCGTGGCGCATTGGGTAGCTTTACTGTAACTGTACCACTACATAATTTTATGAAAGGAAAAATACTTTCAAGGTTTGCTATTCCAGGCGGCCAGTCTCCTTTTTACAGAAGAGGCTGGTAACAATGCCAGAGCTAAGTGGGAGCTGACTCTATTCCAGTTGTTCAGAGTTGAGTATGGATCTGGCTTGGAATTATTAAAACACTGCAGGGTCTCACCCTGGGACTTGTTACTTAACACTATTATAGTGGGATACAAAAATTTGCATTTCTGTTAAGTTCTCAGGTGATACTACTATTCTAGGGACCACACTTGGACAGTTACTTTTAAAAACCAACATCTGTGAAGATTAGAGATGCCGAAGGACAAATAAAAATGTACTGAACTTATCAGTTATCCTGTGATTAGCTTGATTTGTCTGTTGTCATTTTCTATAAAGAAAACACCATTTATATACATCAGTCTTTTAAAAGAACTTTAGAAGCTCATCTGTATACACCTTTCCAGTTTTAAACTGATTGGAGATTTGCAGGCTTTTGTCATATCACAAAAACAATAAACAAAGGTCTTTAGGCATTTGCTTACAATGTTTGTTAGGCTCATAATACAATCATGTGTAATGTATCTCATTTCAGCTTTTGAGCAGAAAAACAAAATCCATGAACTAGAATATATTTTTTGCTACATTCACTACTGGCAGTTACAACATGCTGTTTCTCTGAAATCCTGCTTCTAACTCTTGAAAAAATTTCCTGCGTGATTGTGTTAACAATAAACAACTGTGTCATTACGAAAAAAAAAAAGAGCTGTGGTGGATCCTTGTTTGCTTGTTTTGCTACTCTCTGCCCACCATGAACTGATTTTCCTCTGTGATGCTGGTCTGCCATGCTACCCTGCCTTGGAGCCAGCTGATTATGGACCAAAACCTCTACAAACTGTGAACTAAATAAACCTTTCCCCCTTAACTGACACTTCTGTCTCAGCAATAAGAAAAAAGTAACTAAGACAATGAATAAATATCTGAACCACATTCTAAACCATAATCTTAAATAGTAACCTGAAAATGTGTTGAAATATTGACGGGACTTGGTTCTGATGAACAATTTAAAAAATATAGTAGCGAGGCATGGTAGTCAGGCCTATAATCCCAGCACTCAGGAGGCTGAAGCAGGAGGACTGCCATGATTTGAGGACAGCTTGACATACACAGTAAGTTCAAGGTCAGCCTATACTACAAACTAACACTGTCTCAAAAAACCAAGTTGTTGTGTGTGGTGGCTCATACCTGTAATCCCAGAACTCAGGAGGGCTGAGACAGAAGGATCTCTGAGAATTCAAAGCCAGTCTGGGCTACAAAGTAAGTTTCAGGCCAGCTGAACTACAAATGGAGACTCTGTCTCAAAAACAAAAACAAAAACTACATAAATACATAATCACAAACATTATTTTTTTCTTGGTAGCAGGGATGGAACCTTTTCTTTTCTTTTTTTTTTTTTTTGGTACCAGGGATCGAACTCAGGACCTTGCACTTGCGAGGCAGGCGCCGGAACCACTGAGCTAAATCCCCAGCCCGGAACCTTTTGAGACAGGGTCTTACTGGAACTTGCAAACCTCCTGCCTCAAGCCCCCTTGTTGCTGGGATTACAGCTATGGGCTTCACATACATTCTTAAAAAGTTAAGGGCCAGGGATTTAGCTCAGTGGTGCTGAGCCTGCCTTATAAATGCAAGGTCCTGAGTTCGATCCCTGGTACTGCAAAAAAAGAAGTTAAACAGTATCGCTCTATTATCTGTCTAACCATGCTCCAAAATACTGTCATTGGTGAATTTTAACTGACATATACATAAATTCACAGAATGCCATAGTTCACTTAATCCCATAGTGCAAGAAATGCTTGTGAAACATGGAATTCTTTCTTATACGAAAACACAAAACAGGTATGAAAAAGCTAGACTGCGTTAAAATGTTAGTTATTTTAAAGATCTCTAATATGTATGAGCTTTGTGGCACTGGATTGGTTGCCTTTTTATTTAAATCACAAGCAACCTCCCCCCCAAAAAGCCATTAAGACTAGTCAAGCTGTACATGTCAAATTATTTATTTTCATAAAAACACTAAAGTGCTTTAGGGAAATAAGCAGCGACACCATATATAAACATGTATCATGTCCCATTACCCTAAATAAAACAAACAATGCCAATATATCTTGGCTTCTGTTGTGGAACATGCCTGCCCTAAAGACAGAAAGGTTGATTGACTGAGACAGGGTCTTGCTGTGTAGCCCAGAAATCCTGCCTCAGCCTCCCAGAGAGCTGGAATTGTAGGCATGTGCCACCACACCTGGCTTAAAGCTTCATTTTTTTAATCAGGTCTGTGGCGCTTTATTTTCTTATCCAAGTATAACAGTAAACCAAACCATCTGTTTAATAACAAATCACCTGAAGATTTCTTTTTTTTGGTAAATGTTCAACGTAATAAAATACACACTTTAAAATGACAATCTGAGTTGTCCTCCTGACAAACTTAGTACTAAATCTTAGTATTCAGCTTCATCAAATCCTTTACCAATTTGTACATTTGGAAGAAATATTACAAAAAGTAAAAGAATGAAAATGCTTTAGTAATCAATTTTGATAAATTTCAAATAAGTCGCTTTAATACTTTCATGAAATTAGGGTTTAACAAGCCCAATTTTCATCCAAATAATTTTATTTTTACTTATGCTTTTCTCAATTTTTACCATCAATTGAGAGGTTTCTATTTAAAAAAATGTGAATAATTTGTCACTAAGGTATAATGAGCTTATTTTTCTATCCCAACTAAAGATAAAGTCATGGGCCAGGGATTTAGCTCAGTGGTGCTCTTATCTGCCTCACAAGCACAAGGTCTACAGTTCAATTCCCAGTACCAAAAAAACAACAACAAAAAAGAGCCAGGTGTGGTGGCACACGCCTGTAATCCCAGCACTCGGGAGGCTGAGACAGGAGGATCACTCTGTGAGTTTGAGACCAGCCTGGGCTACATAGTGAATTCCTGGTCAGTCTCAACTACATAGTGAGACCCTGTCTCAAAAAACCAAAAAACAAACTAAAAAAAGAAGATTAAAGTCATTTTCACAAAATAAATGTGAACATTAACAGAACTAAGCCTCCTCTATTGGCATCTGATGATTAAAAATTACCAAAGGTTTAAACAATAGAACACTAATTTTTTTGCAACTGTGTCTCAAAAACAGGCTAGCCTTGAACTCATGGCAATCCTCCTGCCTCAGCCTCCCCCAGTTTTGGAATTACAGGCATACACCACCACACCCAGTATGGAACACTAAATTTTTTAATTGAGTGAGATCCGAAATTCATCTGGTAAATGTAATTTCAGTTATAAATGAAGATGAAAAACAAAAGTTAATTCTGGAAGAACACTTCTTTTTACAAATGAATAAGTCTTAGTTTTATTTAAAAATCTGCTACATAAAGATTATAGGGAAAAATTCCCATATTTGAAAACAGCTACAAGAATCAAACTAGAACACAGGATTGTAACGAGCAGAGTCACAGAACATACTAAAGAGGTATGTATACTCAGTCCCACTGGAACTTGTAGGGTCACATTCTTATGTATCTGTGGAAAGAGAGGGACAGAAAATTAAAGATATTTAAAATGCAGCACATCCTTCTTGGATGAGACCACTGCTTCTTTGATTTTAATTTGATCTCTTCCTTTTTTCTTTTAAATCTTTCAGCCAATGCAATATTATACGTAACATTATTGTATGACTTTTAAATCTAATATTTCATTTAAAACTGCAGACCAGATTCCATTCCCACAATAACTCACAAGACCACATTAGTTCTAACTTTTCCCACTTTACATAGAGTTGAATATGCAGTATTCTTTTCTAAAAAAGCTATATCCCAACATCACCCCTAGGGTCAATATAAACATGTTCTTCCTCTTATTCTGTTTCTCATTAGAATATAGAATTCTAAGTTGAGCCCTAGAGAAAAAAAAATTAAAACAATAAAACTAAAGTACTTATACTGTTTTGTGGCTTCTCTCCAATATGGTTGTTATTCACATATTATACAACTGAACTGAATGTATCCTTTACTGTGACTAGCAATGCAAAAATTATCTTATGTTTAATTTAGTTTCTACTTTTTATTTGTTTTTTTTTGTTTTGTTTTGTTTTGGTACCAGGGATGGAACTCAGAACCTTGCACTTGCGAGGCAGGCAGGAGCACCACTGAGCTACATCTCCAGCCCAGTTCCATTTAGCTTTGTTTATTTTGGTTTGGTTTGATATCAAGAATGGAACCTTGCACTTGTGAGGCAGGTGGCAGAACCACTGAGCTAAATCTCTGGCCCCAGTTCCATTTAGTTAGTTAGTTAGTTTGTTTGTTTTTGAGACAGGGTTTCACTATGTAATTGAGACTGACCTGGAACTCACTATGTAGCCCAGGCTGGTCTCAAACTCATAGCAATGCTCTTCCCTCAGCCTCCCGAGTGCTGGGATTACAGACTTGTACCACTAAACCGGGCAGTTCCATTTAGTTAGTTAGTTAGTTTGTTTGTTTTTGAGACAGGGTTTCACTATGTAATTGAGACTGACCTGGAACTCACTATGTAGCCCAGGCTGGTCTCAAACTCATAGCAATGCTCTTCCCTCAGCCTCCCGAGTGCTGGGATTACAGACTTGTACCACTAAACCGGGCAGTTCCATTTAGTTAGTTAGTTAGTTTGTTTGTTTTTGAGACAGGGTTTCACTATGTAATTGAGACTGACCTGGAACTCACTATGTAGCCCAGGCTGGTCTCAAACTCATAGCAATGCTCTTCCCTCAGCCTCCCGAGTGCTGGGATTACAGACTTGTACCACTAAACCGGGCAGTTCCATTTAGTTAGTTAGTTAGTTTGTTTGTTTTTGAGACAGGGTTTCACTATGTAATTGAGACTGACCTGGAACTCACTATGTAGCCCAGGCTGGTCTCAAACTCATAGCAATGCTCTTCCCTCAGCCTCCCGAGTGCTGGGATTACAGACTTGTACCACTAAACCGGGCAGTTCCATTTAGTTAGTTAGTTAGTTTGTTTGTTTTTGAGACAGGGTTTCACTATGTAATTGAGACTGACCTGGAACTCACTATGTAGCCCAGGCTGGTCTCAAACTCATAGCAATGCTCTTCCCTCAGCCTCCCGAGTGCTGGGATTACAGACTTGTACCACTAAACCGGGCAGTTCCATTTAGTTTTGAAGATGAAGGGATTCACTTAGAAATCTTGGGAAATTTTATGGTTTAAAAATAAGTTTTTACAAAGATTAAAATTTAGACAACTTAGGAATATTTTCATTTTTGGTTGCTTTTTGTAACTGGGTCACACACACACACACACACACACACACACAGTTAGGGATTTAGCTTAGTGGTTCCACCGCCTGCCTTACAAGTGTAGGACCCGAGTTTGATCCCTAGTACCAAAAAAACCAGGGTGGGGGTGTATCTGAAGCCAGGCATAGTGGCACACACCTGTGATCCTAGCACTTAGACTATGGCAGAAGGATCACTGAGAGTTTTAGGCTAGCCTGGTCTACATAAGATTGAGGGCAGCCTAAACTACACAGTGAGACCATGTCTCAAAAGACAACAGTAATACTTTAATTATTTATTTTATAGCATTGCAAACTACTAATACTTTTGTTTTGTGATGGTCTCAATATTTTTTTACAATCAATAAATAGAAAATAAACACTAAGCATATGTTTCACTCATATGAAAAAATCAAATGCATTTTTCCAGATGTAAATCAGAGTTTAAAAAAAAAGTTTAGGCCCTAGATGGAATTGGTAGTTTACTCAAAAGCAATTCTACGCTATGACAACAGTCACATCTGTTTGAAGAAAGTTCCCCAATATAAAATAGCAGTGCTTAGTAGTCAGCCTGCAGTATAAGGAGTTCTCCTAGCTAATTTGGTGGATAAATTGAGCAACCACAAGGAAATTACTTCAAATTTCAATAGAATAGTACTTATGGAAAGACTGCCTTAAGGTTGATTAACAGTTAAGGTGTCTGCTTACTTAAATTTTAAATTTATTTTATTTTGGTGCACTCATTTGACTCTTTGGGGTTGGTACCAGGGATTGAACTCAGGACCTTCTGCTTGCCAGGCAAGCATGGCACCACTGAGCTAAATCTCTAGCCCTCATTTGACTCTTTGTAAAAGTAAAATATAGCCGGGCATGGTGGCACATGCCTGTAATCTCAGCACTCGGGAGGCTGAGGCAGGAGGATCGCTGTGAGTTTGAGACCAGCCTGGGCTACATAGTGAGTTCCAGGTCAGTCTCAACTACATAGTGAGACCCTGTCTCAAAAAACAAAAAAAAAAAAAAAAAAAGTAATAATAATAATAATAAAAAAATATAAAAATGATGACAAGATTGTGGCAAAAGCAGACCTGAAAGAGAGTAAGAAATGAGGAGAAACAAACAGTAATATGAGCATAAGTTTAAAAAGTAGCTCAAAATAAAAATGATAAAATTTATTTTTAATATTCACTAATAAATGCTATTGTGCTTTTAAAAAAAGTAGCTCAAAAAAGGCGAATAAAAAGAGATTCAGCATTATGAAGAGAGGAAAAAGTAGACTCTGTTCACCAGAGTAAGTAGGCAACTGTAAACTCGTAAGACAAAACTAGAGCTAGAAAATATTAATGCCCAATTTAATAACTCAAAACAAGTTGTAGAGGTAAAAACTACAAAATAGTTTGAAATAGCCTCAACTTGGATATAAATAATAATACAATTGTCTAAAAATTTTATCACAGTTGAAATATTACTACTTTGGGTATTAGTTTCCTTTTTCTACTTGCTCTATATAATATAGTAAAGTTAACTAGTTTATTTTCTTGTTAAAAATTTAATTAAAAGTTGTAAATAAAAATAAAGCTTTCCTATAAAGGAAAACCAGTTGAACTTGCTACTATTTTTCTCTGCCATTTCCCACTTTTGAGTAGCACACCAGCCATACAGTACTTCTTCTTGGAACCAGAGAAACACAGGACTGGCTATAGATCACCAGGCCCTCAGGTGAATGGTTCTTTACCCCAGTGGGAGTTAGTGTTACCAACAATAGCAACGAAAGACTATTAAAAACAAACAAAAAGCAGCATTCATCATTTAGAGGAAAAAATGCTAATTCCTTAACTGTAGAAGAAACAGACTTTAAATGCGAAAACAATATCTGACACAGTATATGAGATTGGCTCACTGGTCTGTACTTCAGGCTGCTCCACTGGCAGATGTCCTTACTCCTCAGAGCACAAGGAGCTGCAGCCTCGGATTGCGCCCAGCTTCTCAACACCGGGAGCTCTGAGAGAAGCAGAAGAACATGTTATCAGAAAACCTGTGTTTGGACTCAGGACTAGGCTTGTACTGAACCTCAACGCAAGTTTATGGTGCTGGGATAAGAGTAATTAAACATGTGAACATACACTGTATGTGACTTGGATCCAACTATCGCATGGTGTTATTTTAGTACCCTTTTTTTATAGGAAGCCTAAGAAATTAAAATAATATTACAGAGGTTGTACATGATTTCTTCAATTCCATTAAAAATTTAAAATTTGTTTATTTTCCAGTACTGGGCCTCACACAAGCTAGGAAAACACTTTATCACCAAGCTACTCCCTAGCCCTTTTTTCTTTTCTTTTTTAATTTTGGGATACAGTTTAGCTAAGTTGCTAAGTTGCCCAGGTCAGAGTCAAATTTGCAATCCTCTTGCCTAAGCCTCTGAAAGTGCTGGATTATAGGCGATTGTCACTGTGCCCAGCTCTGAACCCTTTGTTTTGAGATAGAGTCTCATTAAATTGTCCAGGCTGCCCTCAAATTTGCAATCCTCTACTTCAGCCTCCTGAGTACCTGGGATTAGAGATATAAACCACTACACTGGGCTCTTTTTTGGATGCATAATATACATTCAGAAAAGCAAACACAAACAACTTAATTGTTCAACTGATAAATTTCCAAATAAAACTAACATAAAAAGCACTTAGATCAAAATCAAAATAATAAATATCAGATCTACCACTATTTTCTCAGGAAAGGTACTTCTTTTAAATCTGACTTAGAAGGGGAAAAAAGGTACTATTAATATAAACACACAACTAAACTGGCCAAAGAAAGCTAATAAGGCCAAACATTTCTTAATTTTCTCATCATAAAAAGTTTTTTAAAATTTTATTTTATTGGTACATTTTAGATATACATAATGATCACATTCATCATAGGGAATATTTACCTGTACATACCTTGCTACTTCTTTTTTTTCCCATTCCTCTCCCCTCCCTTCAACCCCTTTTCCCCTCATTTACAAAAGCTGTTTCCATTTTTTTCCTTCTATTCTCTTTTTTCCTTGCCCCTTCCTTCCTTTTCCCTTCCCCCTCCTTGTTCCCCTCTCCACTTGAACATACATCATGAAAGGTTTGGTTTTTTTGTTTTTTTGAGACAGGGTCTCACTATATAGTTGAGGCTAACCTGGAACTCACTATGTAGTCCAGGCTGGTCTCAAACTCACAGCGATCCTCCTGCCTCAGCCTCCCGAGTGCTGGGATTACAGGCATGCGCCACCACGCCCGGCTCATCCTGAAAGGTTTTAATGATGACAAATATAACACTAACAGCAATCTGTTTGCCAGTTTCTAGTGAACAGCTTTAACTTTTGTAAACACTCTATATAAAACAGCCCAAATTTAGAGACAACCAAAAATCTGAAAGCTTCTTTTTTTATTTGATACCAGGGATCAAACTCGGATCCCTGCACTTGCAAGGCAGGCGGTAGAACCACTAAGCTAAATCCCTGGCCCGAAAGCTTCTTAAACTAAGTAAAAGTCTCAATTCTGAGAAAACTGTGAAAACGAAATCTTTAACTTACCCCAATCTCCACAAAAAAATAACAATAATACTGTAAAAAATAAAAGCTTGAGGACAAAGCTTATAATGAAAGTAGGTGATAAAGTATCCCCTTCGACACTAAAATAGAGTAGGTGAGACAAGACACGGAAAGCCACAAATCCTGTAATGTCAGCACGCACATTCAAAAAAAGCAGCCAAGAGACAGCATGGATCAATGGGTACAAAAACAACCAGGTGTCATTCACCAACTGATGAAAACGCAGCACCTCCCATAGTCTTGTCAATGGAATCTGAATCTGATCATACCTCTGAATTCACCTGCCAGTTTCCAGGAAGTAAAGGGATCAGAGGAACACGATAAGCCACGTTGTGAGGAAAACCCCACAACATGAAGAAACCCAATAGATCAAATGGTCTGGTTTCTTCTCGGGTTCCTTCTGCCCCACCCTCCCCTACTGGGTATAGAATTCAGGACCTTGTGTTTGCAAGGCAGGCAAGGAGCCACTGAGTTAAATCCCCAGCCCCTAGCTGGTTTCTTTCAACAGATCAGTTTTGAAGAAAAGAAAGAGACAAAGGAAAACTGCTGACTAGGACACTTAGTGGAAGTAAGAGATTTTTAAAAAACTGGGCAATACTAAATGATAGTATCTAAGAATCTTGCCCATTATGGTGATAAATACTGTATAAAGAAGCATAAGGAAAGGATAAAAAGTCAGTACAGTAAGTTACTCTTAGAGTGAAGGGAGGCTATGCTGGTAGGATGGCTGGCAAAGAGCTACATCCTCACCTGGAGTGTATTTGCCTTACTATAAGTAATATACAAGTGTATTTGCCTTACTATAAGCCATCAAAGTCCATTTTCGTGTAGTTTTTCCATATCTGCACTTCCTTTTACAATCAAAAAGTTATAAAAGGACTTTCAACTCTCACCTCGGTCACAGGACATCAACAGATCTGGGTTACGGACCACGATCAAGGTTTCTGCACCTTCACTGTGTGGTCGGTGGTAGCGATAGTGCACAGGTAAAAAGGCCTGGAAACAGTCAACACACCGTGCATCTTGACGGGCATAAATGAGAACTTCAGATTCCTCAGACAAATAGCTGGGGGCTTCTATATTAAAATTTTCTGAAACCATCTCAGCCTGTTGAAAAGACAACAAATGCTAATCAAGAAAAATAAATGAATGAGGAAAAAACAAGACAAGCGTAAAACCACAAGATCGTTGTTCAGATATGCAGAGTGTCAAATTTTTCCCCTGACAGACCATTTCCAGATGTGATCTGCAAATAACAATGGTAGACTAGGGAAACAATACCCTGGGGCACCAAACTCCGTAACAATTGTCTCTGTAAATTTATTAACCTGTGTTTGGGTGACAAAACAGGTACCAAAAAAAGAGAAATTTTGTGAATAAATATAGCACAATTAAATAAATATAAAAACCACTAAAGCAAAAACAGTTAAACCTGTACCAGGTTAAAATGATTGGTATCATTCTGGTGATTTCCTGTTCCTTTGTGGAGTAAGTCAACTGGTAGTGACTACGACACAGCACTGTGGTCAGGAAGTCAAGGCAAAGATCAGCAACTATTTCTAGGTGTGTAAAAGGTTAATGGAAGATATGGCGATGATTTTTTTTTCTTTTGATGGTACCAAGGATTGAACCAAGCCCCTCATGCATGCTAGGCAAATACTCTACCACAGAGCTATTCTCCCAACTGCTACAAATGATTTTCAAAAAAATAACTTGTTAAAAACTACTGTAAGTAGCTGGGTATGGTGGCACATGCCCGTAAACCTAGCACTGAGAAGGCCAGCCTGGGCTACACAGGGAGGTCTAGGGCCAGTTGAACTACACAGTGAGACCCTGTCTCAAATAAAATATTCTAAAAATAAAAATATAAAACATTTCTTCTAAGCTACATATAATTCAGTCTCATTTTCTTTTCTAATTCAATGACCTACATCTTTTAATAGGGATATTTATTTATACTCAATATGACTATTAATATGTATAAGTATAAAGCTATAATTTTTTTTGTTTCGTTTTTTGTTTTTTTGAAACAGTGTCTCACTATGTAGTTGAGCCTGACCTGGAACTCACCATGTAGCCCAGGCTGGTCTCGAACTCACAGCGATCCTCCTGCCTCAGCCTCCTGAGTGCTGGGATTACAGGCATGCACCACCACGCCCAGCTATCATCTTGTTTTTTATTCTCTGTAACATCTGTTCTCTAGTCTCTTTATCATCCCCTTCTGCTTCTATTGGATTGGCTGAAGTATTTTATTCCATTGTATCTGTTTGCCTGGCAAATTAGCTATAACTCTGTTATTTTCATGACTGCTTTAGGGTTTATATATTTAACTTATCACAACCTTTGTGCTATTTCTAGCACACATTTTACTTTTACAAATAGCACGAATAGTACACTACATTGTTATTTTTGTTAATAATCTCATACAGAGAGTTAAATAGTAAGGGGAAAAGACATATTTACCCACCCAGTTACCATTTTAAGCATTCTCCTTCCTTTGGAGTACATCTAGATTTCACCTGAAGACTTGCTGTAACATTTGTTGTAATGGACGTCTAATGACAGGTTCCTTCAGCTTTGTACGTCTCAAAGTCTTCACTTCCCCTTCATTTTGAGAGCTATTTTCAGTGGGTACAGAATTTTAAAATCACAGGTTTTCCTTTTTCTTTTTTTCCCTCCCTCACTACTGGGGGTTAAATCCAAGGTTTTTGCATGTGCTACACAAGGGTTCTACCACTTGGCTACACTGGGTCTCACTAGTTGCCCAGGTTGGCCTCAAACGAGATTCTCCTGTCCTAGTCACCCAAGAAGCTGGAATCACAGATATGCGCCGCCATGCCTAGCCACAGGCTTTTCTGTGAATACTTTCAAGATGAAGCTGTTCTGTCTCCTTGTTTGTGTTGTTTCTGACAAATCTGCTGTCATCATTATTTTTGTTTCTCTGCATAACAGCTTTTCCTCTTGGTGCTTTTAAGATTTTCTTACTATTTCAAAAAATTTTGGGAGTGCCTAGGTAAAGTTTTCATCAAGTTTCTTCCACTTGAGCATCTTACACGGGTTCATCAAATTCAGATTATTTTTCAACCAAATATTTTCCATGTCCATTCCTCTGTTGCTCTTCAAAACTCCAACTACACATACAGCAGACCACGTGAAGGCGGTACACAGTTCACCTGTGCTCCCCTCACCTTTTGCATTTACCTGTTTAAACTTTTGGTAGTTTCCATTGCTATGTCTCCAAATTGATCTTTTTTTTCCTGAGTGTTTTATCTGCCATTAATCCTGTTTACAGTATTTTTCATCTCACACGCTACAGTCTTAATATTTAAAAGTCCAATGCTGCTCCTTTTACATATCTTCCACGTCTCTACTTAACTTTAGCACAAATGAAAGATGGGTGTAACAACTGTTTTATGGTTGGCTTATTAATTCTAACATCTGGGTCACTTCTGGGTTGGTTTCAATTGATTCATTTACCTCCTCAATGTAAACTGTATTTTCCTACAGGCTCACACAACTGCTCTTTTTTTTTTTCCTTCAGGATTGGGGTCAAACTCAGCGCCTGGAACATGCAAGGCAAGAGTTCTAACTCAGCCATACTCCCAATCTCCTACCTACTTTTTATTAGAGTCAAGATAATGCGAAGTTGGTCTTATTTTTTCCTTTAAAATTTTTTTTTTTTTTTTTTTTTAACTTTTTTGTGGTGCTGGGGATGAACCCAAGCTAGACCAGCACTCTACCACTGAGCTGTATCCCCAGCCCTATGCTGGGTATTTCAGTATTCCTATAAATATTATTTCTTATTCAAAATTATTTAATTACTTTTAATTGTACATATTCTTTTCCTATAATATTAAGCTTTGTTTGAGACATAGTTGCTACGTACAACCGTTTTGTGTTTTTGAAAGTCTTGCTTTTAAGATTTGCTATGCATTGTTGCCTGCCTCGCAAGTGCAAGGACATGAGTTTGATCCCCAGTGCCAAAAAAAAAAAAAAGCTTTGCTACGCAGGACTGAAGCAATGCTAAGTTTGAGACTAAGTCAGTGGTGGCAAACCTATGGCATGCGTGCAGCAGCCAGCAGTTAATTTGAATTAACAAATTCAATGATTTGTTATCATTGAATGCTCTGAAAAGTTTACCATTGCTAAACTAAGTGCTTCCCATCAATGAATGAAAGCTTTTGTTTACTTCACCCACCATCCAATAAATTATAAGGCTTTTCTCAGTCAGCTGATGGGAAGAGAAACCACTCATGGCCTTGTCTCAATGGCAGGCGATGTTAACTCTAATTCTGTCAGCTGGTTCTCCCCCTGGCCTCAGTAGCCCCGCACACACAGGCATTAAAGTGCTGAGCTACCTACTCGAGGGAACCATCCACAGCTTTCAGGAGTGCTGTCTGGGTGCAGTTCCCTCCCCTCCAAGACACCCTCTGGTGAACTGTAGAAACCTGTGTTTATCCAGACCCTTAACCTTAGCTCTACAAGCAGGAAGTCCACCAGGCTCTGCCCGCGTTCCTCCTTCCTGCAATAACCCTGACAACTCTTAAGGCAGTGAGTAGGGACAATCCTGGGCTCACCTTCATTATTTCCCCTCTCCCGGATCTCACGCCTTTCTCTGCCTGATATTCATTGCCTATCTTCATATATTTTGTTTATCTCTTCGTTGTTTTAAGTGGGACACTAAATCTTTGTTCTCCTACATGTCAGAGACAGAATTCCTAACACTAAAAACTTTGCCTGACTAAAACTTATAGTTTTGAAAACAGTGTTTTCATAGGACCTACAGAATAGCAATTTGCTATATTTCAATCTGATATTAATACTGTTTTCAAAGAATATGAGAGGCCTTTGACTCCAAGTACCTGTTTAGAGGCTGATGATGTAGGTCAGTGGTAAAGTACCTGCCTGGCATATACAAGCCACTGGGTTCAATCTTGAGACTGAAGAAATTTTAAAAATCTGCCTAACAGCCCTGCCTAGAAATGAGGTTTATTTGATATTTTATCCTTGGTGAATCCTTTTAAAGATTGCATTTATTTTTAAACTGCTCATAGTCTTTATAAGGCATTTATTGTCACACTACTCTATTGCTGATGGAGCCAAAAATTCTATCACCAGGAAGAGATGAGGTCTCAGTCTAAGAATATGGGTGTCAACTAACCCTTACATATGAATTATCTTCCATCTAGTTAAACTTATCACACAATACTACCTCTTATGACAAAATTTCCCTGCACAGGAAAAGGACTCTAGTGTCAACTCAGCTAGAAAGAAGGAAAAGATATCTGATATACCAAGAAATCAACTTTCAATTATCTATCACAACTGTGACATCTATTTGCCTAGAAATTTTCAAAACAAGCAAAAATATAATATTTAGAGAGTAGATTATGGGGCAGAAAATCAAGATAAAGAAGAGCTTGTCAAGCAAAGTACAACGTCACCCTTTCCCTTCCTCCTCTTCTTGCGAGGGTCCACCTGCAAACATTCAAATTTCATCACAACCAAAGGTACACACATGACTTCATCTTGGATATTCCTTTTTAATTTTAAATTTTTCCAGTATCAGGAATTGAACTCAGGACCTTGAGCTTGCCAGGCAGGCGTGGTGCCACTGAGCGACATCCCCAGCCCAGATATTCCTTTTTTTAAAATTCCATTTTCTTCTAACATTGATAAGTGATTTTATCAAGTGGGTCCTAAATAGGATACCAAGCTATGTCACTACAAGTCAAGAACTGGGTGTAGGAGACCAGCTTGAAACCACAATGAGAAGACTTTAAAATATTACTGAATCGGCTTATAGTTCCACTATTGATTAAAATTGTGTTGATCCAAGGCCTTAGCGTGACTGGCTGAATAAGCCTTTGGCTGGTGTACACAGACAGAATTCCCCATGCCAATGGTCACAATTAGACCTCAATGATCAAGGAGATTGTGATGTCTCTAATAGCAAGATGACACTGCCACTGAGGATATATGACTCCATGCAAGCCATTCTCCCAGATCAAAGGTCAGCTAAAGATAATACAGGCAGCTTGTTAACTATGACCTGCGAGATAACACAGATGGCTTATTAACTGTGATCATCCTCTGCAAAGATGTAATCCTTCCTCCCTTTTGCAGACTGACTTATTGGTGCTTAAGTCCCGCCATCCCTTACATCTGCATTTATGCCCCTTGCTATGTTGTATAATCATAAATACTGACAAATCCAGAACTTGTGGTCTTAGCCAGGAAGATCAGATGGTCTTAGGAGAGAGCTAAGATCAGATCCCAACTCCACAAGGAATAAACCACTGTTTGTTCTTATTTTTTTATTCTTTGTATATTATTCTTTCATTCTCTACTGTACCCTCAGTCAGGTGATTGGGCATCCCCTGATACTGTGTTTAAATTTAAAGCTATTATTTTAAATTTGAAAGCTGTACTTATAATTCACAACTCAGTGAAGGAAAGAAACAGCAAGATCCTTCCAGATACATATGTGTAAACTGCTCTATGTACTATTTATGAACAAAAAAACTCTTTGAACACAGGAAGAAACTTGGCAACTAGAAGTTAGGTGGAAGTTTATCATTGTATGTCTTTTTTTTGTGGGGGGGGGGTACCAGGATTGAACTCTGGTCCTTGCACTTGCAAGGCAGGCGATGGAACCACTGAGCTAAATCCCAGGCCCTGTATGTCTTTTTCTATCTCCAGAATTTTGAGTCATGAAAATATAATTACTTATTAAATAATTAAAATAATGAAACAGGTGAGAAATTGGCCTAACCTACAATTACAAATAAACTGCCATGACTAATTTATCTATTTTGCCTTTAAAAATATATATATATAGATTATAATCTTATTAAACTAAGATAGTGAGTTTCCCCCAAAATTTCTTAGTAAGAATCATTTAGATCATGGCCAGGCATGGTAGTGCACACCTGTAACCCCAGCACACGGAAAGCTTAAGCAGGAGAATCACCACTAGCCAGCCTGGGCTACACAGAGAAAGCTGGTCTCAAAAAAAAAAAAAAAAGAATTATGTGGGTTGTTAAAAAAGAGTCTCTGGGGAGCAATCTAGACCTACTGAATCATGATTCCAGGAAGGTAAGACTCTGTACAAAATGCACCGCACTATGGTCCTTTGGCTCCTTACTGTGGAATCCCACTATGGTTCCCTGTGGCTCTTACCAAAGCTGGGGAAATTCTTTAAGGGGTAACATTCATGTTGGGAAGGAGCAGTAACATTGCAACTAGACAACCCTGGGCTTACTTTTTGGCTTACAAATATCCAAATAACCTAAGTTACTTGGTCTCATTGTGCCTGTTTCCTTATCTGTAAAACAGAGGTAATAACTTCAGTATTATTGTAAGAATTTATATAAAGGATAGGAGACACAATCTTTAAAGATTCATTTTTCTGCTTCCTTCAGAAAAAATTAAAGATATCTAGCACATAGTTGTTCAGTAAACATTAGTTTCCTTTCTTCTCACACCCAAATTATACAGGTGATGGGGTACATGTCTACCTAGTATAACAAGGTTATACCTTTCTTTGTCCCTAAACTATGAACCATGCTGCTGAAAAACATGTAACTAGCTCCACTTAGCTGGCTTAATCCTGACAAGTGGCGCTCACTTGTTGAAGACTACTACTCCCATTCTATCTCTAAAAAAGTCCCTCTATATATTTTGACAAACTTTAAAAAATATTACATCATCTTACTATTTTGCCTTAATCAAAATGATGGCATCCCTATATCTCTACCCCAAAAAATGTCCCCTAACAGCTATACCTCTGTTATGTTTTTTTCTTGCAATGAAGCCAACTCGTATGGATCCACAAAAAGTCCTGCGGGGATGGAATGTTTAATTAAGAGTCGGCAGGTCTGTAAGTCCTCCATGATTTCTCCAAACTTCACTTTTATTAAAAGGTCTCTGTAAGACAAATCATTTAAAGGAAATCCCTTCATTCAATTGTTAGATGAGACAGCATAACATCATATTGATAGTAATAGAAATTCTGGATTTTAAATTCATTTTCTAAAAGATTATCAAATCAAGTGAAATATTTATACCATTGCATCTTTCATAATTCATCAGTCACAGTTTAGCATTAGTATAAAAACAGTGTCCAAAAATAGTCACACACATATTTTGAATAGCAGCAAGACCAGGTATTTAGCTCAGTGGCACCTCACCTGCCTCGAAAGCACAAGGTCCTGAGTTGGATCCCCTGTACAAAAAAAAAAATTTAGCAACATAATTTGATGGGGAAAAGAAAGTCTTTTCAACGACTGGTACTGGGAACAGATGGACAAACAGAAATAACGGGGTGGGAATGTAGCTCAGTGGCAGCGAGCCTGCCTACCAAGTGGGAGGTCCTGGGTTCAATCCTTAGAACAATAAAAAGAGGGAGAGAAATAGACACAGAGACAGTAAAACAATAAATACTGATCTCTGTCATATAAGCATACATAAAAATTAATTTAAAATAGAGTATAAATCTAAATGTATCACTGCCCAGCTTTCTGTCAAGAGGCAGATTCTTTTTTTTTTTTTTTGGTACTGGGAATCGAACTCAGGTTCTTGTGCTTGGGAGGCTCAGAACCACTGAGCTAAATCCCCAGCCTAAGAGGCAGATTCTAGATGCCAATGCAGGGAGGGAGATGCAAGGCACTGTGGGGTCATCTCGCCTAAGCAGACAGAAGTCCACGCAGGCTGGAGTACCTAAAAGTCACAACACTAAGTTACAGAGAAAAGAATGGTGAAAAAGAGTTTTAAGAATCTCAGTAAACTCTAAGTAGGACATATACAAGCCACAATAAGGCATTTTATTACCCAGTCATTAAAAAAATAATTTAAAAAATCAAAGGATAAAGGTGTAGTATATAGGCCATAACAAAGGTGAGAACAAACCAGAAGACAGTGGACACAAAACATTTAAAGTTCTAAAAGAAAGGAAGCTGTCAACCTAGAATTATATATCCAGGAGAAAAATCCTTCCAAAATAAAGGCAAAATAAAGACTAACACAAACTAAAAGAATTTTTGTCACTGCAAGAAATAGTAAGCCGGGTGTGTGGTGGTGCACACTTGTAATCCCAGCACTCAGGAGGCTGAGGCAGGAGGATTGCTGTGAGTTTGCGACCAGCCTGGACTATATAATGAGTCCCAGGTCAATCTCAACTACATAGTGAGACCCTGTCTCAAAATAACCAAAAGAAAAAAGAAAAAAACAAATAGTAAAAGACATTCCTCAGGCAGAAAGAAAATGAAATCAAGATAGAAATATGGATCTACAAGAAAATATGGAGCAGTGTGGGAAATGATAAATATCTAGGTGAATATAAAAGGTTTTTTGGCCAGGTATGGTTGCATGTGCCTAAAGCTGCAGCTACTCTGAAGGCGGAGTCAGGAGGATCACTTGAGCCAGAAATTCAAGGCCAGCGTGGGCAAAATAGTGAGACACTAGAGGAAAGGAAAAAGAAACGAAACTAGTTTAAGATTCACACTCAGTTTACTCCAAATATTGCAAGAAAAAAAGAGAAAAGAGTAGATGAAACATATAGAAAAATAAATAGAAAAAAGTAGCAAGATGAATAGATTTAAACCAAATATATCAATATTTGCATTAAAAGCAATACTACAATCACTCCATTTTAATGCAAAGAGTAACAAACTATATAAAATAGCAAAATTTGACAATATGCTGTCTATAAGAAATGCACTGAATATACAGACAGATTTAAGTTAAAAGTAAAAGATGAAAAAAGACATGCAAACAATAAGGAGTGGTTATTTTACATCAGAAAAAGTAAACTTCAGGAAAACAAATACTGTCAGATATACAGAAGGACATTACACAAAGATAAAAGCAACCAATTCATTGAGACAGTGTAACAATCCTACATGTACCATAATAGTTTCAAAATATTCATACATTTTACTTCATACCCAAACCTGGAAGAATTGGACAAATAGACCAATCCACAGTTATAGCCAGAGATTTCAATACCCCACTCTCAATAACTGACAGAACAAATATACAGAAAATTAATAAAGATAGAGAAGGTGTGGGGCTCGGGATTTGGCTCAGTGGCACTGTGCCTGACTTGCAAGTGCAAG